GGGGGGGGGGGGGGGGGGGGGGGGGGGGGGGGGGGGGGGCAGCAGCCCCCCCAGTTTGTTGGGCAATTCTGTCAATTCTGTGGTCAATTTTGTGATGTCTGAAAAATTTGTATGATGTTCCGAAAAATCTCACCAAAATTAATTTGTTCCGGAAAAATTTCGGGCAAATTTCTTTCCACCCCCCTAATTTTTTTTCCTTCCGGTACGCCCATGGCTCTAAAAGTGGGGAGGGCACACTTAGCGCCTGCCAAAGGTGGGTTGCATTCTAAGGAATGGAATTTACAGAGATTAGAAGGAGATTTACAGAGTTCTAAACATAACATAATGTCATAAAATATCTCTTAACTGAAACTAAAATAATATCAATTAATTTAATTTGTGGTTTATTATTAAAGACCATGTAAAGTCCGTAATGTAAACAAACACTTTGTTTACATTTTGAACTCATGCAGTGCTACAGTTGTAAAATATGATTAGATATATATTATACTGAATTTTTAACACTCTTCTGGTTCACTAAGCTTGTAAATTTTTATGAATACAGACCAGAGATTCAATTCAAGAAAGTTCAAAAGATACAAAATATTAATAACATTCCAATGGTCGGGTCCCGACCATTGGAATGTAAGCCTGCACAGAACGTATGCGCAGAACAGACTTTACATGGTCTTTAATCATTGTTAAAAAGTGGGGGGGGGGGACATTTAGGCCACCCCAACCTAAAAAAGTGGGGGGGGGGGCGCCCCTTTATTCCACACCTAAACCAACTGACGTCACTCTCCAAAATATAGATGGTTCGCTGTGATTGGTTGATCAGAGGGAATGGAATGTGCAGCTCGGGTCAGCAGACGTTAGTTTTTCGTCACTTGGCAATAAGAAATACAACGTTGGCGAGCAGGCTATATACTGACTGTATGATTGTCTGATCAAGTTGTGTGTGTTTTTTCTATGTATGTAAATTTGAAGTGAGCATGCACCCCTTAGATGAGGAACCAGTAGCTCTTGGGGCAAACTTCCTTTTCAAATTAAATATTTATTAAAAAAATATACACGTGTCCCCGATGATGGGGGACTTAGATAACATTTTTTCTTTCGGTAGGCGATGCGGGGGATGGATTCAGTGGTTAATTAACATGAATATCCTGTGTTGCTGTTTTAGTTTTCTTTACAAGAAAAGTTTAAATACAATAACATGCAGGGATGGATTTACTGAGAGAGGTGCGGGGGGAGGGGGGGGGGTGCACCCCCCCCTAGCCCTGGCCAGAAGGGGTGCTATTTTTTATGATAAAGCAAAAAAGACAAAATGAGATACAGCAATTTGAGTAATAACATGATGATAAGTGAACTGTGAACAACAATTACAATTCAAATACAGTAGTTGATGGGCGGGCGGCACACATGACCGACATAGCTCGGCAGTCGGCACCAGAGCACCCCCTCCCCCCCTACCAGATCATGCTGGATCCATCCCTGATAACATGTAAATTATTTGATTTTCTATTGCTGATCTATGAAATATACAGTATTTGAGTATAATGCATTAATACTATTTTACCGGGGTTCAGAGACATCAGACATGCGGGGACATTGATTAATTACCCTTTCCCTGGGGGCGAGGACAATTTCCCTCTTCTACTATCCCTCTAAGTCAAAATCCCCGCCCCTCCCTGGTTGGGGGGGGAGGGGGATTTACATTTACATTCAATTTGACTGTTACTGTTACAGACTTACAGTTACCTAAAAAAGTAACGATTACTTGTAATTTCGTTACTTGTAACGAATTTACTTACAACACTGCTTCTAGGTATCTTAAATGGTGAAACTGTGGTGAAATATAGCTTGAAACTCTTCACCGTCGGAAACTGGGAAAATACTGTATGCTGAAAATATATATTTATGAATCTATGTTTTTCAGTTTTTATAAAGGCTCAACAATTCTACCTGTATTCTTCATCTTTTGTAAATAATTTCAAACCAATAAGAGCGCTTTCCACATCATCCCATTTGACACAAGAAACACAAATGTCGCTGTTAACACTCAAAATATTACACCAATATTTCCACTTCTCTAAATCCAAATTTTCCGCCATATTGCTTTTTGCAAAAATATCCCTCTGTGCCCTTAGTTCAGCTTATTAGATCCTATGAAATCCTGTACCATTCTATCTTCACGTATATTTTATTATTTTTATACTTTTTTGAAATTTGTATACAGGTTAATTTAAATTAATTATAGTATTTCTATCTTTATTATATCTAACTCCTCTACGTGAAAAAGTTTGGTCACTTTGTTCGGGTTACACAAGTCAAAATAGGAAAACGATGACTTCTGGTGTCAAATTCACATCTTGGGAGTCTTGGGAGAACTTCATGTAAGTCTGATAATAAGATGTTAAAAATTTATACTTGATCCTCAAAAGACGTTTTCAGATTACTATTTTTCCTCGTGTTTTTCTGTTCATTTACAACGGGATGGAGCATCAAAATGTAAGACCATACACACTATAATTGTCTTTATTCTTTTTACAGTATATAAGGCATATAAGCAAGCTTGCATGGGTCCTCTACTCCTCTAGCAGCCTTAGCTGGGCATGCAACATCCAGGGGATATGGAACCATTCCCGCAAACCCATAAATATATAACCTCAGTTGGTAGCCTTGCTGCACTGTTGTGTTTTGGTGTTGACTGACAATTTCAATACAATAGTGTACATGTTTACACAAACAATACATCACATATAATCAATTAACATATTTTGCACATAATTAAGGCGTGGTGGCAGGTGGTGTGGCCTGGTGTGGTGGCGAGTGGGTAAAATTAACAAGACTTAGAATGAGGTTAAACAGCATGAGTTCAGATCTCATAGTAAAATGTAATTTTGTTGGTTTGAATGGTTTCCCAATTATTAAAACATTCCAGAGCCAGTCTCCCAAAAATGAGCCAAAACAGGGACCGTGGAACAGGGGGGGGGGGGGC